TGGACGTATATTCAACGGCTTGTACTTCACCTCATTCTCCAGCACAAACCCAACCATCATGTCCTCCTGACCCATACCAATTGATAAAAACTCCTCCTGACGCTCCTTGCTGTACGGCAGGTACGCCAGGCGCCTCAGAGGCTTGTACGACACCAACGCCTCCGCCACGTCCCTCGACAAAGTGTAGCACCAGCCAACCATAAACGACACGCCCACTGGGCGTTTATTCACCTGAAATCCTCTTCCAGCATGAGCGCCCATGTAGACCCCTCGGCGCGGCAGGAGGCGCAGGTGAGCAACAAACAGCGGCACACGAAGAAACATGTCGTCATCGCCCTTCGCAATGTAACTCGCGGTCGGAAACAGACGGAGCGCAAGGTCGAACCACATGTACACCTTGCGGCTCAAACCAATCTCCGCCTCAGCTCCAATTTCTCCCCCAGTGCCCGCTATTTTTCCTGGGGACACGAGGCCCTCGTTCATTTGCAGCGCAACCACATCGTTCCACTGTGCCGCCTCCTCCAGCATCGCGGCAGAGTAGTCATAGCCGTGCGACGGGTGTCGCCCAATAACGTACAGCACGAGCAATGCACCGGTGAAGTCGTTCGCCCTCGTCGCCACTCCGGGAAACCGCCAGCACGTCGACCGCTGCAGGTTGCGTCGCGTCCGCCTCGCTTCTTCGTCAATGGAGGGAACGCCCAGCACAATCAGGTACTCCCGCCGGCTCCACGTGTCCACAACACTGCGTGGGATGTAAGCAAGTGCTGCGTCGTCCGCGGCGGTGGCGTGCGAGTGGCGGGGGTTGTTGGGTCCCGGTGACGCATCATCGGCAGCGGTGTCAAACCTCAGAGAGAAAACAGTCGTGGCCACAATGAAGAGAATCAGCAGCACGGCAACTCGCTTCAGCTTACGCCTCAGCGTCAGAAGTTTCGGCTTCGCCATGGTCGCTGTTGGTGTGAGAAGCTAGGCAAAAGAAAAAGGGGCGGAGAGCGTGTAAGGGCGTAGAGCAATTTATCATTATTATGTTTTTTCTCGTGTTTTCTCAAACAAATCCGATGGACCGCAGACGGCACGGCAACACCTGCCCCCAGACCTCGTGGTGTTACAACTGTGTGCCCCAGTAATACGCGGCTGGTCCGGGCGCTGGTCGATGCCGTCAGCCCTGCGTCAGCAACAACAATCCCATGAGGGCAGCATTGCTGGCTCTTGGCTTCCCCGGATAATACAGGGCGACCGGCTCTGGCACCACGATGAAGTAGCCCGCATTGCCAGTGCGCACAGCTCCTGCTGGCATCCACCACCAACAACGCCCTCCGCGAGAACACGCACCAAACGAAGGTGTCGTCCACAAACAACCGGTGCGCCGCCCAGCACGCCGCACACACCGTCGCCACAAGAAGCGGCGCGCACTTCTCTCGGATGGGACCAGGAGCGTCCCGCACGACGCAGGGAGCCACCGCAGGCCCGCCGCCCAGCAGACAGTCCACCCGTCGTCTGATCCCCGTCCGCCCGCGCAGCAGCTCCTTCTCCCTCCAATCGGTGGACTCGACACCACACTCGCATGGCCGCGGGTGGGGCGCAAAGGAGAGGGCCCCGCGGCGTCCTCCTCGGGAGAAGCCACAGACGCCAGCTCGCACTCGCCCCCACCGCGGCACGTGCCATCGGCGCGCAACCGTCGCACGGCCCGCACAGCGCCGCTCCGCACACGTCGCAAGCACGGCCGCGCCGCCCCTACCCTGCGCACACTGCCACAAAAGAACAAAAGCAGGAGAAAAAAAAGAGGGGCAGCTGCGTCGTCAGCAAGCAGGGGCCGTGGGCCAGTGGCGTTGCCCCGCCCTCTGGGTACACCAGCGGCGGGGAGGGCGTCACGGCACGCACTCTCCCCACACCGGGAGCCTCACCACCAGCACTGGCAGCAGTCGCACCGTGGGACGCTCCGTTAACAAGGACATCACACGAACACACACGAAAATACGTCCCCAACCGCTCCCAACCGCAACCACCCACCAAAAAGTGAGGGCTCAGGAGTGGAAAGGACGAAACAAGCAACGTACACACAAAAAAAAAAAAAAAAATGAATCCCCTCCATCTCCCAATCGCACAATTAACAAAACTACAGGATAGAAAAAAAAACCCACATACATCGTTCATTGGCGGCCCGGCCCACACACGCACATTCTCATCGCGTGCTCCCAGCAGAAGGACACCCGCGGCACAACGCAGCGGGCGCCCACTGGCTCCACTCTCTCCTCCCGCCAACGGGTCGAGGGCAGGGAGTGGAACGCTCCACAGGGACGCTGAGCGGTCAATGACACATCCCACGTCGTTAGGCCACAGAGCACATAGGGCACAAACCGGGATGCAGCAACCAATCAAGCAATACCTTAAGATTCAACACGCACAGAAAAACATCCATTTCTTTCATTTTTCAATCGCAACAGGGGTATATCACGTCTTCTGAGTACCGTTCCACACGGGCGACAGGCGATGTGTCGTTGCCGAAGCGCGCCATGAGCGCGGCGTAGTCGTCCCCCCGCACATGATGGACACACATCGAGGTCGGCACCACCTGCCAGTGCCCGGTGTCATCGCGGGCGTCATGGTAATGACAGGGCAGCATCTTCACGTATACCATCGGCTTGTAGTTCAGTTCCTTCTCAAGAACCCAACCAACCATGGCGTCGTCATTGTGAAACTGAAGCAGTGCAAACTCGTGATCACGTTCCTCGCTGTACGGCAGGTACGCCAGGCGCCTCAGGGGCTTGTACGAAACCAACGCCTCCGCCACGTCCCTCGACAAAGTAAAGCACCAGCCAAACATAAAAGTGTTACCCGGGAAGCGCTTATTCGCAAACTGGGCGACACCAATGTGGTATCCCATGTAGACCCCTCGGCGCGGCAGGAGGCGCAGGTGAGCAACGAACAGCGGCACACGAAGAAAAATATCGTCATCGCCCTTCGCAATGTACCTCGCGGTCGGAAACAGACGGAGCGCAAGGTCGAACCACATGTACACCTTGCGGCTCAAACCGACATTCGCCTCAGCTCCAAAAAAGCCGTAGTGGCCAACTGTTTTGTTAGTCGTCACGAGGCCCTCGTTCATTTGCAGCGCAACCACATCGTTCCACTGTGCCGCCTCCTCCAGCATCGCGGCAGAGTAGTCATAGCCGTGCGACGGGTGTCGCCCAATAACGTACAGCACGAGCAATGCACCGGTGAAGTCGTTCGCCCTCGTCGCCACTCCGGGGAACCGCCAGCACGTCGACCGCTGCAGGTTGCGTTGCGTTCGCCTCGCTTCTTCGTCAATGGAGGGAACGCCCAGCACAATCAGGTACTCCCGCCGGCTCCACGTGTCCACAACACTGCGTGGGATGTAAGCAAGTGCTGCATCGTCCGCGGCGGTGGCGTGCGAGTGGCGGGGGTTGTTGGGTCCCGGTGACGCATCATCGGCAGTGGTGTCGAACCTGAGGGTCAGAACAGTCGTGGCCACAATGAAGGGAATCAGCAGCACGGCAACTCGCTTCAGCTTACGCCTCAGCGTCAGAAGTTTCGGCTTCGCCATGGTCGCTTTTGGTGTGAGAAGCTAGGCAAAAGAAAAAGGGGCGGAGAGCGTGTAAGGGCGTAGAGCAATTTATCATTATTATGTTTTTTCTCGTGTTTTCTCAAACAAATCCGATGGACCGCAGACGGCACGGCAACACCTGCCCCCAGACCTCGTGGTGTTACAACTGTGTGCCCCAGTAATACGCGGCTGGTCCGGGCGCTGGTCGATGCCGTCAGCCCTGCGTCAGCAACAACAATCCCATGACGGCAGCATTGCTGGCTCTTGGCTTCCCCGGATAATACAGGGCGACCGGCTCTGGCACCACGATGAAGCAGTTAGCTATAAAATCAACGGGGCGTAATTTGGCAGCGCCACCCCGACCAGGGCACCGCTGCCCAGTGTGAGACTAATGGCCGCCACAAGCATGTGAGCACTACTCCGTTGCTTTTCTTCGTCTATCTCCTTTTTCTTTTTTTTTTTTCTTTTTTTTTTTGGTATTTCTGTTTTGTTTTTGGAATGAAACAAAAAAAAAAAAAAGAAGAAGAGCGAATATTGCTGCTGCCGCTGCTGAAGAAGAAGAAGAAGGGCCTGGTGATGAGGATTACGGCAGCCATTGAGCGCCGCAAAAAAAAAATTTGCCTTCCAGTGGACTGTCTCACCTTTCTTTTTTCTTCTCCCACACACTTGCGCGCATACTCTCATCCAGTTGTTTCCTCGAGTTCATGTATGGGAATGGCATGTTAAAAAAAAAAAAAAAAGAAATCTCTTCCTCATCGTGAAAACAGGATGATGTGGTTGCCACCTCTGCACTCTCCTGGCAATGCCGGAAACATCATCGTGGTACGCCAGGGTCCATTACACACACGCACCCGTATCACCCAATGGGGGAAAAGCCAATAGCCGGTAATGTTTCCTTTATGGAATTGTTGTCATTGGCGCAACAAACACACACACACACACACACACACACACCGGACCAGCCGCGTATGACTGAGTCTCACAGTTGTAACACCATGAGGTCCGTGTCTGTATGGTGGGGTGTTGAGTGGGGTGAGTGGGGGAATGCACATGTTACCGTCCTGTCTGCAGCAGCACCATCCGCAGCAATTTTACTGCTGAGTGTGGATGAGTGAAGACCGTTGCTTCAACTTTGGCTGAGATCGCTTTATTTGATTCTTTAAGCGTCGCACCACCGACTCGCGGTTACGCTTAATGGCCTGCAGTTCAGTCAACCTTCTGGCAACGTCTTTGAGGCGACGGCTGAGGTCCCGCTTGCGTGATTGCAACGTTCGCAGCACTTCCACCACACATTGTAACTCTACCTCCACGCCGCGACGAGTCTCCCTCACGCCCTCGCGCAATCGAAGCAGTTCCCCATCCGTCTTGGGATGCGCCGTGGGTCCTGATGCGCCGCTCTGCCTCCCTCCTCCGCCTGCCCGCAAGGCGTGGAGCATCTTCCGTAGCGTTTTTGTCTCGTGCTCAAGAAAGACGATGCGCCCATCAAGAAAGTTCCCCCGCTCCCTTAACCGCTCGCGATCGGACGATGATTGAAGAATACAACGCGCCTGCAGTTTCTCTGGTGAAGATGTGATGGATGGTGCGTGCAGTTCCCCCTCCTGCATCCCGCTTGCCGCAACCATTCTTCGGCTCATCGACTCCATGACATTCTGGTAACGACACTTCAATTGCTGCAACTGCTCCTGGCATCGTCGAAGTTCCGCCTGTTTCTCCGCTTGGGCCTTTTGCTCGAGATGAAGCTCCACAACGGCGTTCTTTATGTCTGCAAGAACCGTCTCCTCCAGTACTAGCGCCTGTCCGCGGAGGATGTCCTCGAGAGTCGCGGACCCACGCATCCACTCCACGTGTGATTCGGCGACACGACGGACGGACCGCAACTCCAACGTCGCCCTCGAGTGATGTAAAAGAGCCGTTTCCTTTTCCTTCGCCAGACGCACAGCGTCAGACTCGATTGCATGAAGTTCCGCCCTTCGCAGAAGCACCACTTCCGTGAGGGCGGCAATTTTCTCTTTTGTGTCGTCTGCACTTCTGGTATGAGCGTTTAAGGCGCACTGCAGCGGTGTGATGTCCCGCCGAAGCGCAAGGCCGCGGTGCGTCAAGCGATGGAGTTGGGCCTGCAGCTCCTGCACAACACCCTCCAAAACTGTCTGCTCATGCCGGTCCTTCTCCCGCACCAAATCCCGTGCTTGCTCCAGCTTTAATTTCATGGATGATAATCGTGCCTCCAGAGCGTCAAGGTGGGTTTGACACATGTCACGAGATTGCCGCCGTGCCGCATATTCATTTTCTGCGGCAGCCAAAGCCTCTCTTGTTTTGGTGACGTTGTAATTTATCTCCTCGGCAAATCGGCCCTCCTGCTGAAGATCTGAAAGACACGACAAAGTCGCCGCACGAATTCGCACGATTCGATCATCCAGTTGCTGGAGGCCCCGCTGCAGTGAGGCACGTATATCCTCAAAAGCGCGTGTCGACTGCACACCGCCGCCCACTTGTGTCTCCTTGCAAAGACACTCAAGCTCCCTTGAGCGCAAAAGCAACTCCTGCAGTTGTGCGTTACGCCCATCCCAAAGCGCAAGCGTGTTGCGGTACGAAAGCAGCGCCTGCTGCCGCACATCTCGCTGGGCCGCTAGTTGTCGTTGCGTCGCAGTCGTTGCGTTCTCCTGCTCCTGTGCTTCGCTCGTGGAGGCGTGAAGACGGGCAAGCAAGACGTGCTGATTTCTTCTGTGGGCATCGATGCTCTTGGAGATCGTCTGCTGCTGCGCCAAAAGCTCCTGGTGCTTCTTCTGCAGCTGATCAAGAAGAGCCCGACGGGCCGCCAGGGTTTGTTCCCCGCTGGCGTACGCCTCCGTGTTCGCCGCCGTTTGTTTCTCACACACCGTTATCGCCTCCTGCACGCGTGACACCGCCAGCCACGACTCTGTTTTGTCGTGTTTGCCCCTCACAATATTCAGCCGGAGAGCCCGCAGCTCCCCCTGCACCTGCGCAAACTCCTCCTCCCCCCGCTGCAGCGCGCTCTGTGACATGCGAAGAGAATCGTGGGCACCTGTCAATGATGCCTGCACCCGCTCCAAGCGGTGGCGCTGCCGCTCCAAATCCCGCTGCGCCTCATGAGCGTTCTTTTGCGATGCAGAAGCGGCAAAAAGTTCCAGCGCTGTCTGCTCCAGCGCCTCCGATATGGCATGCTCCTTCTCAAGAGCCTTCGCCTTGGCCTGCACTGCACGTGACACTCCCTGCAGCAACTCCTGGACCTCCTTTTGACGACTCTTCAACGCATGAAGATCGGCACGGCTGTGGGACTCCTCCCGCTGCAGAAGCTGCAGCGCATCATCGTCCCTCTGCAGGCGCTCTTGATCTTCGACGACGGCCTTCGTTCTCGAAAGGACATGTTGCTTCACCTGCGCCAAGTTCCTCCGCAGCACGGCGACGGCCTCCCGCTCCAACTCAATATCCGAAAATTTATTCTGTAACTCATATGCAATGTGGTCTATGCGTTGCTGGATCTTTCGATTTGTTTCATTTAACACCCACGTCGGCCAAGACATGAATTGGCACAAGAGATGTCTGCCTACTACGTGTAAAAACAAAGAGGAATGAAAATAATAATAATAAACAAGTGGAGAGGGGAATGCAACAAACACATTAATTCCAAATGCAGCCTACCGTGTAGCACCCACCCCACCTCTCCCCTCAAGGAAAGTAGTGGCCGCGGAAACAATAACAATCGACGCAGTTATATGCACAACAGAGAGAGAAAGAAAAAGAAAAAGAAGAAAAAGAAGAAAAAAAGCGAGGAACAGAAGGCGTGTCCGTGCGGAAAAAAAAAAAAAATAAATAAAAATACAGACGGATGGAAATCAACAGAAAAAGTTATACGCAACACTCATTGTATCAGCAACTTCTTTGGCCGTGCGGCATCCCGTGCCTGCCAACGCACGTACTCTGCGCGGTCGTGGGGATGGTCCGTGTCGTCTGGCTTGGACTCCACCGCGTCCGTGTCAAGAGAGGCAGACGTCTGCTCCACCGCGCTGTTGCGAAGCCGCTTCTGCGGGGCCGAACGCGCGCTGGCGATGTTCACCGGCGCACTCTTCTGCGCAACGTACGTGATGGCAAATTCGTCGTCGTCGTCGTCGTCGTCGGCCCCAACGGAGACGGAGGAGGTTTGGGCGGGATGCAACGACGGCGTTGGGACGGCGCTGGGGAGTTCCTCCTCGTCTGGACAAACGCTCGAATGCACAACAACTGTCTTCTCACCCGACATGTCACCGCCGCCGCCGCCGCCGCAGAGAAACACACGCAAAGTGCTGTGAAAGGGAGACACACACACACACACACAAAAAAAAAAAAAAAAAAAAAAAGAGAGAGAGAGAAAACCCCTGCAGAAACAAAAAAAATCAAAGGCCCAAGCCATTACATACATACACTCATGTACATACAAACACATGCCACTCACTATTACTAATGACAAAAGGCAAAATGTTCTACAAAGGCAATACAAATGTCGTTTATTCAGACGCTGCCGCCAATCATACAAACAACTCCATTCCATAAATAACTGGCACCAACACAAAGAGCGACGCGGACCGTAGTAAACAGAAAAAAAAAAAAAAAAAAAAATGACGGAGCACAAAGCCCTCAAAATATCCCCCTCCCCCCTACAAGTCAAAAATAAAAATAAAAAATTAACAACAATGAAAAAAAAGAAAAAGAACAAATCACACTCATATAGATATATAGATATATAGATAAATAGATATCATGATGCATCATGGGTCCTCTACAGGAGATCATTGAAGCCAAAGTGGCTTCTCCCTTCACCATGCAAGTCGCTCCTTTTTGTGAAAAAAGCCACCGGTAGGCCCATCCGCCGGTAGTGTGGCAAGATAAACCAAAGTCTCAGCCCCCTCATCTGGTTCCATGGGTGCCTCTGCACGGTTTCGCGACATATCTGTTCGTACATACCCGGGATATGCTGCATTTACCTTCGCCGCCTTGGCACTGTTTTCCTCTTGCGTCTGCAGCCAGTAGGCAAGATTGTGCGTGTACATATTCAGTGCCGCCTTTGTGCACTTGTAACTTGTAAAGAGTGGACTGCCGTACCTGTTGTGCGGATGCTCCACCGTCTCGTGGGTGCCGAGGGGTGTGCTGACATTAACAATACGTGGGGCGTCGGATGTGCGTAGCATCAGCGGTAAAAAGGCATTGGTGACCATCACGGCAGCAAAAAAGTTCACTTCAAACTCCTCCCGCATGCGGGGCACATTCAACGGGGTGATGTGGTTGTCGTAGTCCATCACAGCGGCGTTGTTGATGAGGGCATCCAGCCGTTTATACCGCGCCTCCACCTCACGAGCCGCGGTGGCAACAGAAGCCTCATCGGTAATGACAAGATGCAAAAATTGCACGTCCATGTCATCCGCGCGAAGCGACGCTGCTGCTGCCTCGCCACGTTGAACATCACGAGCAGCAAGCAGGACGCAGTAGCCAAGTTGCGCCATGCGACGCACCGCCGCGTACCCAATGCCGCGATTCCCGCCTGTCACCAGCGCCACACGCTTCGACAACATCACTGCCCAATAATAATATATATGTATGTATTTAGATGTATGCTTATAATATATATAGGTGGATAATGCGTGCAGAAAGGCAACAGTCTCCCTCCCTCCCTCCCTCCCTCTCCCAGGCACACACACACACACACACACACACATTTCGTGCAGAGATAAAAGTAAACAAACAAAAAATAATAATAATAATAATAATTGATAGTAACGCCATGCAGATAGAGACAAGGACAAAAAATATAAAAAGATAAAATAAAATAAAAGATAAAAAAAAATTTAAGAAAAAAAAAAAATGTCAATGAAATGCATCAAATCAACCTCCACTTTAACCCCCCACCCCCAAAATAATAAAATAATAAAATAATTTGTCATTACGTCTCATTCAATTTTTTATTATTTTTCTTTTCTTTCGTATTTAATCTGTTCGTGTCATATGTGTACACATGTACATGCATGTATGCACCCATCCAACCCTCTCTCTCTCTCTCCCTCTCTCTCTCTGTGTGTGTGTGTGTGTGTGTGTCCGTCCATCCTCATCCCCTGTAGATCACCTCCACACAACATTGTGCAGGGCGAGTATGATGCGCTGCAGCTCATAAAGACGACCCTCCTCCCGCCGCACAGACTCACGGCGGCTCCAGTACGCACGCAACATCTCCTCGTAGGCATGCGATTCAGCCTCCGCCATAAGTCACACACTCAACAACAACAACAAAAAAAAAAAAAAAAGGACAAGAGAGCAAAATATATATACATATATATATATTATCAGGTAACAGAGATAAAAATAAAAATAAAAAAAGAACACCTGTACATAAGAAAGGTCACATTTCTGCACGGCGACAAAAAACCACACACCCACCCACCTTTCCCCTATCCCCTCCCTCTTTGCACAAAAGATGGGTACATGAACACTTCTTCTTTTCATAACTTCTTGCGCCTCCTCCTCCTCCTCCTCCTCCTTTTACTCCTCACCACCACCACCTCCACCCGCTTCTCTCTCACCCCCTCTCCCTCCGTTCCGCAGGCACATATACATGCATCTATGTATGTACATATATGCTTATGCATTGATATATACGCACGCAAGTACCTCTACTACAATGAAATTAAAAAGTAAAAAAGATGTCTCACCGCAAGACACCAAAAGATAAAAAAAATTAAATAAATAAATAAGTAAATAGGGATCAAAAAAGTACAAGTTTTTTTTTTTCCTACTATTACCAGCGCGTCTAGCTATACAATGCCATCTGGGTGCCGAGGAGGTGGTCGAGCAGCGACAAAAGTTTTCTGCTATGAGGCAACTGCCGTTGAGAGAACTTTCCGAGGCGAAGGTCCTGTTCAATGCCCAGTCTTTGGCGCACAGCCAAGGTGCCTGGACATCCTAGAAGCAGATGGTGCAAGGTTTCCTGCGGGCCTATTGGCGTGCTTGTGGAAGCTGGCTGATCCTGCGGCAGCAGAGATCGCCTCCTGGCACTGCTGTTTAGATGCCGTGTGGCGTCTGGGTTGTGTGTGCAGCGACTTCTGTGCTGTGCGGTGCTTCTCCGTGTGGGGAAAACCATATCACAGAAATCGCATTTGAGCTCGGGAAGCGGTGGAGGATGTTCCGGGTGAAATGACCGACAGTGACTGACGAGATTCGAGAATCCCGTCAATGTAGAATCACAGTACGGAAATTTCTCCTTCCGACGACGTGTGATGGTCCGTCTCCTTACTGGAGAGACGTCTTCCTCCCTTGCCGACGGGGGAAAAGCATCCGTCCCCGGTGCGGTCGGATCGTTGTTAGAGCGCATATGTGCAGACTGTTCCGGTGAGATGTTGCAGAAACGGCATTGGTTCGTGCAATCTCTCACAGCCCAGTATAGTCGGCCCCAGAGCTCAGATTCCCCGCACCTTGCCCTTGCGAGGTGAACCAGTTCTTGACGGTGAAGAACTTCCTGAGTGATCAGGCCCTTGCCGCTGAGATCTGATGGCCTTGTGCCGCAAAGCAAGTAGCGGTGAGTGTCTTGACGAATCGTACTACTCCACTTGTTGGTGAGCTGGGTAGTAAAACATGTCAGCAGGTCCGTATGCCATAAAGGTGCAATTCCTTGCTCCGTGTATTGTCCGGTTGCCATAGTCTGCGTCGCATACTGATCAGCAAGCTCGTTAGCATTTACTCCACAATGTCCGTAACAAAACTGCAGATGCACGGACCAGCCAGCACACGCCAGTGTCAAGAGACGCTGCCAGATCTGATCCTCCGTCCAGTCGGTCTGACTGAGCGGGCCCTTGTTTAGAGCCGCTAGAAGAGACTGACTGTCTGTAACCACAAGCAGGGTTTTATGCCTGTGCTGGATACGAGGGATAATCAGCTTCTCTAGGGCTAGGAGCAGCGCACGGGATTCCGTCCTGTAGCTGCATGGGCGTGTGCCGCAGTTGATACTGGCCTTTTCTATTATCTCCGATGAATTGAGGGATGAAAGCAGTATTCCAACCCCGGCTGACTTGGGAACGTCTACACCGCCATCTGTTGCGAGTATCCACGAACGGTGGCTGTGCAGCGCTAGAGCCTCTTCGCTGACTCTGCGCTTTTTCCTTGTCAGCTCTTCCTCGTCAGTTATTGAGTGGTCTATCGGAAGTTCCACGCCAATGGTGACCCGGTGAGCGGAGGTCGCAAACAGGGAGGAATGGAGCTGCGAAAGAACCGCTCATTGCGTGGTGAGCTCTCGGTAATGCCATAGCCCTTTGTGTATGCGTCTACGAAGGCATATAGCTCGTCCCGAGATAATGGCGAGATGCGGAAACCTGCGCGAGGCGGTGGCTCAGGCGGGGGTCTCTGTATCCAGTCCATCTGACATGCGCGTGTGTTCTCAAATATGGAGAGCCGCGCGCGCAGGCAAAGGACATGGAGCGGCGGCATATTAGCCTCTAGAAGTGCGGATTCCGGGTCGACAGTGCTCGGAACTCCGCTGACAATGCGTGCCATAGTTGCGTACGTCCTCTGCATCCCATTCTTCGCTGAATCCGTCGCTACTGCCCATATGAGTTCGCTGCCATAGCGTAATTTGGGGGCACCGTATCCAATGACGAACGTGCGTAGGTCATGTGGAGATGGTCCCGCCTCTTTATGCGCTATGCAGCGTAGCTGCGATATCCGTTGCGAAGTGGCAGCGCATTGCTTGGAGGCCGCCACATTTAGCGTCAGTCGTGGATCGAGATCCATGACAATAAACCTCGTGGTTCGCGATGCCCCAATGGTTATGACTGGGATTTCACATCCCGCCACTACCAGCGGCCACTTTCCTTCACGATCATAATCTGACTCCGTGTGCGTGGAGAGTGTGAACCAAGCGGCTTCACACTTTGACGGGTTGATGGCCAGGCCATTTTCTTGACTCCACCCATGTAGTTTTTCAAGAACCGTGTTGGCAGTGGGAATGGCGTCTTCCCGGGACTGCCCCTTAACGATAATAGAGAGGTCGTCCGCATACATGTCTGCTGTGACATCCGCAAAGCTGTTCAGCAGATTGAGAAGTGAGTGTACGTAAAGGGAGAACAAATATGGTCCCAGTACGGACCCCTGAGGAACTCCTCGCAGCATGGGACGCCGATCGCTGTTTCTGTTACCAACTCGTGTCTTCGCGTGGCGACCACGTAGAAAGTTTCTAAGCCACCTTCTACAATTCACCCCCGGAATATTAGCCAGCAAGCGACTGAGGACTCGATGATCTATGGAGTCAAAAGCCTTGCTGAAATCAACCAACACCAGCAGGGTCCGATGGGGTCTGTAGTGGAGTTGATTACCAATACCGCTCTTCTTGGGAAGGTTCACTTGGAAATAATCATTTCTATTATGCTCCACTTCGTGTACCAGGTGTGCCAGCTGCATCAAAAAGTACAAGTCACAGTAACTGTCGTCATTTAAATCCCCGTCAGTAAAAACAATGCCAACTCCCACACAACCAAAGAACAACAAGAAAGTAAATATATATATATATATATATATACCGGCCAAGAATGTATCAAGTGTATTATCAACGCGAATGGAAGTACAACAGAATTCCCTCGCAGAGTTCACTCCGTTGACCCCTCAAATGCACACGACATTATACCGCCAATGTAGCCAATTCTCCTAAACAAAACACACAAATACACAGATCCACCTAAATAAATGCGTTGCTAACAAGCCACTGGCGAAGTGCCATGTACTCCCGCAGCCGGCACTCACCGTAGCGCACGTAGTCCAGACCGCTGCCCCCAAGAGCAAATGCCTCCGTGTCCACCGCGCAGTCGGCACACTCGTCGGGCGCGCAGCCCATCACGATTGCCCACAGCGTCCAGTGGAGGTGCGACGCCAGCATGCCGAGCAGCAGCTCCACCAAATGCGCCTCGCTTACCGAGACCTCACTCACCGGCGCCCCGCTGCTCGTCGCAAAGTACCTCCGCACAGCCTGCAACGCGGCAGTGCCAACGTCCCCCGCCTCCCCGTCAACGTCACCCCGCCGCCAGGCGTCAACGATCAGCTCCGGCAGCCGCGGGTACTCCTCCCCAAGCCCGCGCCACGCATCCGCCTTCGCCGCGGGCGGGAACACGCTCAGAAACTTGATGAACCCGCGACCACCCGCCTCCGTGCCCCGCGTGTAGTCGTAGTCCAGCTCGCACAGCGTGTTGCCAAGGTCAAAGCAGCGGTAGTTCGCATCCGTGTACTCAAAGTCAATGAAAAGGTACCCGCGACGCTCCACTAGATTTTTGCCCCCACACCGCCGCACCACATGGGGCGCGTCGACTCCGCCGTGCTCTCCGCGTCGTCAAGGCTCGTCAAAGAGTCGCTCCTGCGGAACGCCACCGGCACCTGCCGCCTCGACAGCAGGATGTTCCCGGGATTCAGATCGTTGTGCGAGAAAACAACAGGGACGCCACGCAGCAGCAGCTCGCCGCGCAAAAACATGATCTCCCCCGCCAGCCAGTCCACCAGCGACCGACGGTGCGGCTCCACCACGTGCGATGACAGCAGTCGAAGCAGGCGGAAACTCGCACGCTCAAACGACGTTGGGCACACGCTCTCCAGGGCCTTCTCACGCACCAGGTTGCCGTAGTAGCCGGCAGCTCCCTCCATCAACGAGGCCAGTTCGTCCACGCTCATCGACGGGGTCACTACTCGGCCCACAAACTTGGCGCCCTTCACGTTCTCCGGCAGAAACGGGGTCGCATCCAGCTGATGCATGCGGCACAGTCCCTCATATATGTCGCCCAGCAGTGATGGCGACGCCAGCAGCATATCCGTCGTGCACGTGTACACACCGTCCATGAACTCCTCCACGCGGCCCCAGTGGAAGCTGTGCAGCACAGCTGGACTCATCTCGGCATCGCTCATCAGCCGCATCGCCTTTATGTCCCGCGCACGGTCAATCGCCTCACCGCCCCTGTCACCGTACACACGCAGCAGAACGGCCTTCCCGGGGTACGAGGCGTGGCCAAGACGGTACACGTGGTTACTATTCCCGCCAGAGAGTCGCGTCACATCCAGCTCATCCGCCAGCCACTGCGACACACCTGCGGGGCCGTCGAGCGGCCCATGCGATTCCTCGAGACATCTGCACCCAACATGCGGATTGGACGACTTCCCCACCGAGTGGTAGTAGCTTGACGGGTCAAAGAGGTGGCGCAGCGGGCACCAGTCCTCGTGCCCACGCATGTTGTGAAACCGGCTCGCATTATCACCAACCGACGCGTACCCATCGTTCGCGGGGCGCCGGTGCATCCGCGCGGACTTGCTCTTCGCCACGCAGTACAGGGAGTGGCATAGGCGGTAGATCAGTCCGTCCAGCTCCAGCTGCTCCTCCGTCCGGTTCGCCAGCGAGATGATGCTGTCGAGCGACTCGGCGGACACCCACGACAGGGTCGGTGACGTCTGCACGACACCCGCCCCACACGCCGTGAGCGGCGAGCCCGGTGGTTCCTCCAATGAGCGGCGCAAGACCGCACGAAGCGGCACATCCCCCAATGGGTACGCCCGGCCGTCCGCAGTCGGTGGCATCCCTTCCGCAGAATTGAAGCAGAAAAGGAAAAAAGGTGCACTCCTCTGCCCAGTGGGAGAAAAATAAAAATAAAAAAAGAAGTGAAGCAAAAATGAAAATAAAACTAATAAATGGAATAGGAAGCAGCGGGCCTGTGTTTCCTGTCACAGCTGTGTGCATGTGCGTGCACGGCTGAGGGTGGCTGCTGGTTGTTTGACCAGTGCAACGATAGCAACCAGGAGGTCCCGTTGGCCTCGGCACAGGGTATGATGGAGGGGAAACAGGAAAAAAAAAAAAACGATTAGAATTGACGATTCTTCCCAGCACGAGGCCGTCAACACATATATATATATATATATCGCAGCTCTGAAGGACGTCATAGCCTGTGCAGTGGTGAAGGATGTTTACTTGTACCCCCACCGCGTAAATGCAAGGAGCGATGTGGCAATTTCCTCTGTGTGTATTCTTCACGCACTTTTTTTTTCCCATCTTCACAAGTTGTTCCGCGTCGACCAGCCCACAAACACACACACCGCAGCCACCGCTTTACCAAACGAAAAAAAGGGGTCTCATGTCATATGGTACGAACCATCGCTTGTCTGATTGTCCACACGGCCTTGCGTGAAGAAACGATGTGACACCTGCACAATGCCTGCTCCACAGATATATATATATATATATATGTACGCATGGAGACTACTGCATGCCTGGACATGCTGGCTTTTTTTTCTTATCCCCCTCCCCCTCCTCCTCCTTCCTTTTTTTTCTTCCCTCAGTGACGGAGGGCACCTCAAACCTCATGACGCTTCTTTCCTTCCTTCCTTCATTCATTCAATCATTTCCCTGCCTTCAGGGCCAAACAAACAAAAAAAAAAAAAAAAAAAGATGAGAAAACAACGGTGCCCGTAGCCTGCGATATAAGTGAGCGCACACACACACACACACATAAAAAAAAAAAGGGGGGGAGTGGGGGGGAAAACACTGAGATGCAGCTCACCGTTACATTTGTTTCATGTCCCGTGACATCATGAACACATAATAATAATAATAATAATAACTTACTGCAGCGAAAAAAAAAAAAAGCAGTGAATAGGGCGCACATAAAAAAAAAAAAAAAAAAAAAAAAAAAAGTTGAGTAATATATATACATATATATATGTATTTATATTCCCCCCTCTTTTTCTTTTTTTTTGTTCAATTCCCTGTAAAACTGCAGCTATGGTTCTCAAATGTAGAAGGAAAAATAAACAAAGTTATATAATATATATATATATGTATATATATATAAGTATTATTATTATTAGTAGTAGTAGTAGTACTGGTAGTAGTATTACTGGTAGTATTATATTTTTCATCTCAAAGGTCGTCACGCTGGTCTATAAACTCATACATTGGATTTGTATTCTCAATGCCGACATTCGTCATCCATTTCGCCAAATCCGCAATTTTCGATTCTTCTGTAAGAGCCATCAATTTACTCATTGAGCTGCATGTGTTTTGGTTACCCGCTGAAGCCAAACAGTGATCTGCCAGCCGCCCCAGTAACACTCTTCCGGCGTCGTAGTATACAGCCTTAAAGGATGTCTTAAGAAGGGCTTCCGGCTTCTTACGTAGCTTGCCTGCAGTCCGTTTACCATGCTGTAAGAAAAAGCTCTCTGTAACGTAGGCAAGTGCGGAACAGACTTCGGACTGTGGCTCCGCTGACACATCAAGACCGCGCTTTTTAACCGCCTCCTCGCATACTTCCTTAGCAATATCCCTCCAGACTTCCCAGAAAGGCGCATTGGGCACCTCACGCTTCCCCTGTTCGCTGGTGGGTTTCTTGTCGCGGTTTTGGTAGGCGTAGCGTGCAAAGTCGGCCTTCTCCTGGCAGTCAGGGCAGGTGAGACCTCGGTCCTCCAAGAAATCGCGGAGCTCCCGTATCTTCATGCGCTTAAAGTCCGCCTCCGTCAGCTCGGCTGCAGTGGCAGTAACCATGAAAGCCATCAAAAGCAGCACCAGCAGCCATGGAAGCAGGGCAGCGCCATTGCGCAAGTATCGTCGTGGTGGCATTTAAGCTTTGCTACACAAGGACCGGGCTCTCCCTAGCCAGTGAGGAAAAAGACATATATATATACAAGAAAATGGAAAAAGTGAAAGACAGAACAAATACAAAACACATGACTGATGGCCTGCTTGCATGTGTGTGTGTGTGTGTGTGTGTGTGTGTGTTTGGAAAGGGAAAGGAAGGGAAAGTGAGTCGACATGCGCCACAAAAAATGACTCTTCTCATCCTCCTCAATGGCATGTGTTTTCTTTCATTTATTCATTTTTTTTTTTTTTTTGTGTGTGTGTTTGTTTGCGATTCCCCCATTGTCGGCCTTCCACTTTAAAAATATGTACTTTTTTTTTTTTTTTTCTTATGTATTGTCTTAAACGAGAGCCGAGCCGGTGATCGCCTTCCTCTACGATGACTCGGAGTCGTCGTCGTCGTCGTCGTCGTCGTCGCTGTCAAATGTACGGGGACGCTTCTCGCTGCACCCGCCACGGTTCTCTGCATGACGATGACGACGGCGGTGCAACTCGTCAAACACCTGCCTGCTGACCCCGTCGAACTCCTCCCGCGCAAAATAAGTCGGGCTCGCCTCCAGCAGCCACTCGTCGGCCACCGCCGTCACGGTGCGGATGTAAGTATTACTGGTGAGTACAAGCTCGTTAAACACGACGAACTTTGGACGGCGGTTGAGGAACGTGGAAGGGAATAAAAGACACTTGACATCGTCCTTCAGCGTCATAAATTGATTCTTGGTTGGCAGCGAGAGGGCGACTTTGGTGAAGTACCCGCGAAGAATAGCGCGGCGTATCTCATTTGCGAACTCATCCTTGACGTCAGTTTCTCTCGGGGCTCGAGTCGGTGGACGGGAATATGTGCTGCAAACATCGCGGCCCAGTCGACGCATAACGCCAAGCAGCTGCCGGTAAATGCTGACGGCCTGCCTCATGACACGTGGATTGAGATAGTTTTCCGATGCCCATGCTGCACTTTTGTTATTGGCGTCGTAAAATGCATTAAAGGCATTCAAAAATGCGACATGGTCCCCTGTTGGGTGGTTAAACTGCTCCCGGCACCGCATTGCACGACCTCGTTGATCGTTGGTGGGGGTCACAAAGGGACTTTGGACGGATAGCATCGCACAAATACGTGCAATATCGTCTGAACAGCCATACTCGGGGCTATGTAGCAACATCGCCGCCATCTCAGGTTCTAACGGAAACTCTGCCATCTGGCGGCCGATTTCCGTCATGTCTCCGTCGTCATTAATGGCGCCTAAATAATTCAAAAGCTCCAGCGCCCGCATGAGCGTTTCCGGGGCCGGTGGCTCCACAAAGTCAAAGTTCACCAGGTCTTCCACACCCATCATCTTCATGTGCAAAACAACGGAACCCAAGTTACAGCGCAGAATTTCAGGGTACGTCTGCGGCTGCAGGAGTGTGTCAAACGCTTTGATGGTGTAGAGGCGGAAACACTTCCCCGGCTTGGTACGACCGGCACGACCGCAGCGCTGCCGTGCGCTCGCTTGACTGATCGGTGTCACCAAAAGGGACTCGACACGCAACTTTGGGTTAAACACCTTCTGCTTGGAAAAGCCACTGTCGACGACAAAGACGACACCGTCGATGGTGAGGGATGTCTCCGCCACGTTCGTTGCTACGACAATCTTCCGTGTGCCGGGCGGGACCTTCTGAAAGACCTTCCGCTGCTGCTGGGGCGGGAGGGCGGAGTACAACGGGAGAACCACGACGGGCCCCTTATGGCAGTCCGCGCTGCTGTGCTCCGCCATACAAATCCCCTTCTGCAGTCGCTCCACCGTCTGCTCAATCTCGTCCTCGCCGGTGAGAAAAATGAGAATATCGCCCTCGCCCTCGTACAGGTGAATCTGCGTCGCCGTGCGTATCGCCGCCTCCACGTAGTTTGCCTCGGGCGACCGCGAGAAGTACACCTCCACACCAAACATACGGCCGGCAATATGCACCAGGGGCGCCTCCGGAAAGTACACTTGAAACCGCCTCTCCTCCAACGTTGCGGACATCACAACGACGCGTAATTCCGGTCGCCGCGGCAACAACTCCTTCACGACACCAATCAACACATCTGTGTGGACCGTACGCTCATGGGCCTCGTCGAGGATGATGACACTGTACCGCAGCAGCAGTGGGTCGCTCATGGCCTCCCGAAGCAGCATGCCATCCGTCAAGTACTTTAGCCGCGTCCTCTCGCTGCTCATGTCATCAAATCGAATGGCGTACCCAACCTCCTCACCGAGCGTGACATCAACTCCTCCGCCACACGCTCACTGACGCTGG